AAAAAAATGATAATAATAAAATGAAATTTTAAAAATTGTACTGATCTAGCTTTGAAATCAAATTTACTCAAACCTTATAAGGTAACTTTCACTCTCTCATAGGTTCTTAAACAATTTGTATGAGCTAGAAATTAACTGTTTTTGTTTGTTTGTTTTTTGAGACGCAGTCTCTTTCTGTTGCCCAGTCTGGAGTGTGATGGTACAATCTCGGCTTACTGCTACATCTACCTCCTAGGTTCAAGCGATTCTCCTGCCTCAGCCTCCCGCGTAGCCGGGATTGCAGGTGCCCACCACCATGCCTGGCTAATTTTTGTATTTTCGGTAGAGACAGGGTTTCTCCATGTTGGTCGGGCTTTTCTCGAACTCCCGACCGCAGGTGATCCACCCACCTCGGCCTCCCAAAGTGCTGGGATTACAGGCGTGAGCCACCGTGCCCGGCCAGCTGGTCTTAAAACTCCGGAGGAATTCATCTGTAGAACCACTGGAGTCTGAGTTTTGGGGGAGGGGAAGATTTTGCTGCCATTTCAATTTCTCTAATATTTATTGGTCTGATGACATTTTCTATTTCTTCTTGCTGGATTTTGGCCTTATATATTATTTTCTAGGAATGTGTCTTTCTTCACTTGGATTTTCAAATTTATTAGTGCATATTTGTTCATAATCTTCTCTTATAGGCCTAAAAAAGAATCAATTTATAGGTGATTTTCTGTTTTGTTGTTTGTCTGTTCTTTGCGCCAAGCCATCCTCCTACCTCAGCCTCCCGAATAGCTGGAACTACAAGCATGCACCAACATGCTTGGCTTATTTTTGAATTTTTTGTAGAGATGTGGTTTCGTCATGTTGCCCAGACTGGTCTTGAACTCCTGGGTCAAGCAATCCTCCTGCCTCAGATTCCCAAAATGCCAGGATTACAGGAGCGAGCCACCGTGCCTAGCTATAGGAGATTTTTCAATTAGGAACCAGAGTGTGGTTTCTTGTCCTATAGACAGTGGTTTGGGCAATGCTCATGGGATATGAGGACAGATTTTTTTTTTCAGTAGCACCTACTATGTGCCAGGCAGAGGGGACCAGGGCAGGCACATCCCTGCCCTGATGGAACTGGCATCAGATGAAACTAATGGAACTGACAGACAGATGTGGGATGAAGATAAGGAAAAACAGAGGGGGTCAGGCAGAGTGGCTCATGCCTGTAATCCCCGCACTTTGAGAGGCTGAGGCAGGAGGATCATTTTGGGTCCAGGGGTTCGAGACCAGCCTGGGCAATGCAGTGAGACTCTATGACCCTGTGTCTACAAAAAATAAAAATAAAAAAAATAAAAACAAAGGAAAAGAACTTCAGAAGGAGGGTTGGAAAAAGCTCCTCAGCATGAGGCCCAGGAGAGGGTCCTCTGCCAAGCTCAGCCTCAGGAGTAGCCCTCCCGTTTGCCTGGGTCTTGGGTTAGTGAGGCCGGGAGTAGTGGAGCTGATGCTGCAGTGGACGACGGGGCCATGCCAGCAGGTCCTGTCACCCATGGCATGAGGTGGGAGGCATCAGGATACCCAGCCCCCTTCCCGATCTTGGATCCTTTTTCTTTCCTATGACCTGGAAGCCTAGGTACCTGCAATCCCACTCCTTTATCAAGGACACACCAAGCACCCCCAAAGCTGGGTTTTAAACCCAAAAAGACTCTAAAGGAGGAGAGAGGGCTGATGCTGTATCAAGGGGCTTCAAGAAATCAATTGTCCCAACTCCTTCTTTAGTCCAGGCTGGGGGCAGTGACATATTCCTTTGTCAAAAACAAATAGAAAGTGCCACAGCCTAGTGGCCTTAAGGAGGGCAAGACAACTAAATATAATGTGGGATCCTGGATGGGATCCTGGAAGAGAAAAATGAAGGAAATCCAACTAATATGTGAACTGTAGTTAATAATAATGTATCCATATTGGTTTATTAATTCTAACAAATGTACCATCATCATCATAAGAAGAGGACGTTAATAATAAGGAAAACTAGGGGCAGAGTATGTGGGAACTTTTTGCACTATATTTGCAATTTTCTGAAAATCTAAAACTATTCTAAAAATTAAAGTTTTTATATATATATGTACACACACACACATATAGATATATTTTTTTAAGACAGAGTCTCGCTCTGTTGCCCAGGCTGGAGTGCAATGGCATGATCTCGGCTCACTGCAACCTCCGCCTCCTGGGTTCAAGTGATTCTCATGCCTCAGCCTCCTGAGTAATTGCAACTACAGGCACATGCCACCACACCCGGCTAATTTTTGTATTTTTGTAGAGATGAGGTTTTGCTATGTTGGCCAGGCTGGTCTCAAACTCCTGGCCTCAAGTGGTCCGCCCCTCTCAGCCTCCCAAACTGCTGGGATTACAGGCATGAGTCACAGGGCCTGGCCAAAATATTGGGAAAAAAAAAACAACAGACAGAAAAATTCAGAGGAAGAATTAGTCCCTGGTAGGGACTTCCTTTTCTCAGGCGCTGTGTGCCACTGCGACTTCATTTGACTCACAGCACCCTGAAGGTAGGGACCAGTATTATGTCCATTACACAGAAGAGGAAAGTGAGGTTGAGACAGTGAACGGCTTGCCACGGGCACACTGCTAGCTCTGGAACTCAGTCGCAGCTCTGCCCCATTCCAAAGTCAGCGTTTTAAACCCTGCACTGTATGCTTTCTGGGCTGACTCCTGACTTCTCACCCATCTCAAGTTCAAAATCCATTCCATGAGGCGTAATGAGTTAAGATGAATTTTTCCCTAAGCCCTGGGGCAGTGTCTGTTACTATCATTAGTATTTTGAGATGGGGTTTCACTCTGTTGCCCAGGCTGGAGTACAGTGGTGCAAGCTCAGCTCACTGCATCCTCCACCTCCCGGGCTCAAGTGATCCTCTCACTTCAGCCTCCTGAGTAGCTGGGATTACAGGTGCTCAGCAGTACACCCAGCTAAGTTTTGTATGTTTTGTAGAGATGAGGTTTCGCCATGTTGCCCAGGATGGTCTTGAACTCCTGAGCTCAAGCAATCTGCCTGCCTCAGCCTCCCAAAGCACTGGGACTATAGGCGTGAGCCATCGCATCTGGCTTGTTATTTTTTTAGACTGCTGCTGTAATTCCTAGAAGAAACTGTTTCTCTACCCTTCACTAAATCCAATTCCTTAAGTGTTTGCTGGGCACCTGCTCAGTGCACTAGGGCACCTCGGTTCCTTTAGGGGACAACAGAGCCCTGTCCTCGGGGAACTGGAGGTAGACCCAAAGGCAAGTACTGAAGACAATGCTTCGCAATATCTGCCCCAAGGGCTGGCCAGGCCAGAGGCCAGTTAAGTCCTAAGGATGTCCTGGTTGTTAACTGTAACCTCACCCCGGCGCTGTGCCCACCTGTTGCCTCATCTTTTCTTGACAGATGAAGAAACTGAGGCTCAGTGGGGTTTTGTGCTGTGCTCAAACACAGGGGAGCTCAGATTCCAGTCAGAGCAGGCTGATTCCAGAGCCTGTGTTCTTTTTTTTTGAGACAGAGCTTCACTTTTGATGCCCAGGCTGGAGTGCAATAGCAGGATCTCAGTTCACTGCAACCTCCGCCTCCCGGGTTCAAGCAATTTTCCTGCTTCAGCTTCCTGAGTAGCTGCGATTACAGGCATGTGCCACCACACCGGCTAATTTTGTATTTTTAGTAGAGACAGGGTTTCCCCACGTTGGTCAGGCTGATCTCGAACTCCCGACCTCAGGTGATCAACCTACCTCAGCCTCCCAAAGTGCTGGGATTACAGGCGTGAGCCACCGCGCCCGGCAAGCTTGTGTTCTTTACTACTCTACAGCTTCGTTCCCCAAAGCCTCCCACTCCTCTCCTGAGACCCTCCTTCCTTCCCTCCCTCTCCACCTCCCCTGGCCCCTGCAAGCCTCACCTAGCAGCCAGCGTAGGAGGAAGTAGTCATCAGCATTGGGCAGCATGGGCAGCAGGTTCTGGAGGTTCTCCCGGAACTGAGCGGGGGAGGAGCTGATGGTCAGCGGAACTCTCATGACCTTGGGGGCCACCAACCCCACCCCTAACCCTTCCCACCTCATCCACCAGTCAACTCCACCTGGAGACCATGCAGGGTGCTGCCCTGAACAACTTTGCCATCTGAAAACAGGGAACCCTCCAGCCCAACATAGGAAAAAGAGTTGGGTCCTTCCCAAAATTTGGGGGTGCCCTACACACAGGACTCCCATTCTACCTGTCTAAGGTGGGGCCCTGGCATCCTTATTTTTAATTTTTATTTTATTATGATTTTTATTATTTTACTATTACTATTATTATTATTGAGACAGGATCTCACTCTGTTGCCCAAGCTGGAGTGTAGTTGCGTGATCTTGGCTCACTACAACCTCCGCCTCCCGGGCTCAATAGATCCTCCCAGCCCAGACTCCCAAGTAGCTGGGACCACAGGCACACAAGACGCCCAGCTAATTGTTGTACTTTTTGTAGAGATGGGGTCTTGCCATGTTGCCCAGACTGGTCTCAAACTCCTTGGCTCAATCTGCCCACCTTGGCATCCCAAAGTGTTGTCATCACAGGCATGAGCCACCGCACCCGACTGACAGCCTTATTTTTTCAAGTATCCCTGGGAGATTCTGCTGCAGGCCAGCTAGAGGGTTTTAGGAATGTTATCCCTGATACTGCATCTTAAGGGTTTAGATTTAGAGGCAAGTTACCAAACCTCTCTGAGCCTTAGTTTCCTTATCTGTGAAATGGGGATAATAATAAACTTGTGCCAACCAAAGGAGTTTGTGCACGTAAAACACTTAGCAGGCTTGGCTCCAAGCAGGTGTCAGATAAATGTGAGCACTCAGCCAGCGTGGATTGCCTGATGCCCCAGATAGTGGAGGCTGTGTGGGAAAAAAACAGAGGCAGAGGTCAACAGACAGGGGCTGAAAGAGAAGCCACGAATGCCTTATCAGGACATCTGTTGGGGCTGTCGGGGAGTAAGCGTGCCTTTTCCTACTGGCAGAGTTGAAGGATGTCATTTGGAGTTTGGGTCTGAGACTGAGGCTTGGGTCTGAGAAAGAGAGGCGATCTCACTTCCGTGGGGACTAACAGAGCTGAAGGCAAGAGCTGGGTTTGAAGGTGAATCTGTGAATCCAAATTTGGGATTAGAAATATGAGGCCAGGCGCAGTAGCTCACACCTGTAATCCCAGCACTTTGGGAGGCCAAAGCGGGTGGATCATAAGGTCAGGAGTTTGAGACCAGCCTGGCCAATATGGTGAAACCCCATCTCTACTAAAAATACAAAAATTAGTCGGGTGTGGTGGCGGGCACCTGTAGCCCCAGCTACTTGGGAGGCTGAGGCAGGGGAATCGCTTGAACTCAGGAGGCGGAGGTTGCAGTGAGCAGAGATTGTGTCATTACACTC